AATGAGGCGGGTTGCCATTCGAAAAAGGGAGGGGGGTCTTAAATACCTATTACTTGTGATGAGCTAAGACTCCTATAGAGCAATCCTGTTTGGATAACAGCTACTACTACTACTACTACTACTACTACTACTACTGATTACTACTGATACTACTACTACTACTACTCCTACTACTACTACTACTACTACTACTACTGCTACTACTACTACTACTACTACTACCACGACAACTACTAATAAACACAGTAACCGTAGCAGCAGTAGTAGTAGTAGTAGTAAGTATAGTATAGTAGTAGTAGTAATAGTAGCAGTAGTAGTAGTAGTAGTTAGTAGTAGTAGTAGTAGTAGTAGTAGTCGTAGTAGTAGTAGTAGTCGTAGTAGTAGTAGTAGTAGTAGTAGTAGTAGTAGCAGTAGTAGTAGTAGTAGTAGTAGTAGTAGTAGTAGTAGTAGTAGTACTAGTAGTAGCAGTAGCAGTAGTAGTAATAGTAGAAGAAGTAGAAGTAGAAATGGAAGTGGAAGTAGAAGTATAAATGTAACTATAAGTATACGTATACGTGTAAGTAAACGTAGTAGTAGTAGTAGTAGTAGTAGTAGTAGTAGTAGTAGTAGTAGTAGTAGTAGTAGTAAGAGTAGTAGTAGTAGTATCAGTAGTAGTAGTCGTCGTCGTAGTCGTAGTCGTAGTAGTAGTAGTAGTAGTAGTAGTAGTAGTAGTAGTAGTAGTAGTAGTAGTAGTAGTAGTAGTAGTAGTAGTAGTCGTAGTATTAGGAGTAATAACAATAGTAGTAGTAGCAGCAGTCGTAGTAGTAGTAGTAGTAGTAGTAGTAGTAGTAGTAGTAGTCGTAGTCGTCGTAGTCGTAGTCGTAATACTAATTTCGACAAGGACACTACGAATTATAGAATTCATAATGATAATGTCAGTGCTACTAGTAGTAAGCATACTACTAATGATACTAGTGGTAACCAAGAATACAAGTGAAACAATGATTATTCGAATGTTAATCGTACTAACAATAGTATTAAGAGTAGTGGCAGTACTACTACGAATCAAGATTATCAGAACAATAAATATACAATCGCAAACATTCGGAGGTCCGGGCGAAATTCTCGGATCAGTGTTGGGCCCCCCTGGCGGCGCCTCGGGCGCCGCCCCTGGCGCGCTCCGCGCGCCAAGCATGGGGGTCCACCGCCGATCCGAGAAATTCGCGCGGACTTTCGAAAGTATATGTTTATGTCACTGTTCGTTCCCCGAGTATCAGCTGGCTCCCCGCGTCTTGGCCCGCGGCCGGCCAACAATCCCTCTTCCCCGAGGTGCCGGATCAACCAACATCGACTCGGGAAATCGGATCGAATCGGAACTTTAAGTCGGATCGGGCCGCATCGGCACGGAGTCGGAATCGAATTGAGTCGGCCGCGCCAAGACGCACAACAACGCATGCAAGCGCAATCGACTCGGACCGGGCCGGGCGGAATCGGTATCAGATCAGAACGGTCGGATCCAAATGGACCCCGAACCGTGGCCGTGGCCAGCCTGCCAGTTGAAGAAGGAGAGGCCCCCCCCCGCCCCCACTCCTCTTGCCCCTCCTCCTCCTCCTCCTCCTCCTCCTCCTCCTCCTCCTCGTTCGTTCGTTCGCGGCTTTAGGGCAGAGAGTGGAAGCCCGATCGCAGAGGGTGGACGGCAAAAAGAGTGGGATGGGGGGCAAGAGCGGCGGCGGCAGCAGAGCCAGCAGCCAGCAGCAACGGTGAAGCCTCGGCTCTGAGCAGCCACACAGCTGCATCAGGCCGTACAGGGGCGAACAAGTCAGGTGAGATGGCAGTCCTAGGTCGAGGTGTCCCCACCCAACACTACCTTCTCCCTCCCCGATCATACTGTGCGGTAAGGGCTACTGCCTTTTAAAGTGGGCGTACACTATAAGAAGGAAAGAGGAAGTAAAAAATACGGTTTGGAAAAGGAAACCTTCACCCCCAGAGGGTCAGCTACTGACAGTGTCGAGCCGTAAACTATAGTAAACAGCACTGGACTACTACTTTTTATAGTGAGTGTACACTGGCGGCACTTGGGTGAGCACGGCGTCACCTTCATAGTCCAGCCCTTCACTTCACCTCTGGTCTCTACACTGTACTATGAGGCCCCCCACGAGGCTAACAAAGTTGCTGTTAGGCGAGACATCAGGTGAGCAGGGGGAGGGCAACAAGGGGAAAAGTGAGTTAGCTCTGCCCTGCATCCTCTCTGTCTGGCCTGTTTTGTCGCATGCAATCCATACCAATCATTCCCGTGTCCAAGTACGGGTCCAGTGGAACATAGTATCTTCGTAGTGACGGTGGTAACCACTCATCACAAGTCTCATCCAGATTATATTGCTTTCTTAACCATAACTCATCTTCATAAGTCCATACATGTTGTGTATCTGTTGGTACAAACGTAGTATTCCATCCTGATTGTCGTGGTGTGTCGGCCTGTGCCCGAGTCGTGGTGCGTGGTGGTTGTTTGAATCGTAACCTTCGTGTCGTCACGGTCGATGCAGGAGTGGGTGGTGGAGGTGGGGGGGTATCGAACAACCAGGGAAACTTCGCCCAAGCCTCCTGAGCAAAGGCCCTCCCCAGAAGC